GGTTTTCTGGGTGCGTTTGATGCAGCGTGGATGGTCAGGAGTTGGGGAAAAGGTGTGCAGCCCATGGAGGTTCTGGCAGAGAGGTATGGTTAACTATTGATTTTTACACCTTTTATAATGGTGCACTGTTGCATCACAGCAAGAAGGTCACTGGTTTGAGTCCCGGCTGGGTCAATTGGTTGGCATGGGTTTCCTTTGGGTAATCTGGTTTCCCCCACAGTCAAAACACATGCACTATAGGTGAATTGAATAAACTAAATTGGCCGTAGTGTATGTGTGTAAATGAGTGTGTATGGATGTTTCCCAGTACTGGGTTGCAGCTTGAAGGGCATCCACTGTGTAAAACATATGCTGAATAATTTGGCGGTTCATTCCTCTGTGGCAATCCCTGCTGAATAAAGGGACTAAGCCACAGGAAAATAAGTTATTTAATTGTATAAGGTATGTTTTTAATCTAATGAATTAAATATTCATAAGCGTACGATACTTCTCATGACCCAAGCTTTGAAACAATATTGTATGTATCAATCTAGAATGCATACATAATATGAAATCAAATAATTGTATCTTTTACAGGGAAAGTGTGTATCAGTTGCTTTCTCAAACAACTCCAGAAAACACCAGCAAGAACTACATGGCCTACAGCATTGATCCAAGCACACGATACCCGAACATCAACCTGTCCTCCATCAAACCCAGACAGGTCAAACACACACTTCTGCACACAAACACACTTTCAGAAGCTGCCTGAATTAATAATTAGTCATTAGAAGTGTTTCTATCCTCTGAGTGTTTCATCTGAGTGTGTTCGTTTTAAAGGTCAAGCGTCTGTATGAAGCAGAAGAGCAGGAAAGCAAACCAAACAAACTGAAGAAACCTGACATAAAAGCTAAACCTAGAAAAGGTAAATGCTCTATACAGTCACTTTAACTTATTTTGATACATAATCAAGTTTTGGAATGGTAATATTTTTGGTGTATTTTAGGAAGTCTATGTATATTTGATTCAAAACTGCTTTCTATTTTAATATATTTAAAAAAATGATTTATTACTGTGATTTCTTCAGAAATCATACTAAGATGCTAATTTGCTGTTAAAAAGGGATTATTATTAATATTGTTTATTATTATTATTATTATTATTAAAACTGTATTAATTATTATTAATTGTAATATTATTATTATTATTATTATTATTAATAATACATTTTATTATATTTTATAATTTTGTAGTATTAAATTTAATTACACTTAATAATAATAAAATAAAACGTAAATAAATTTGATAATAATAATAATATAATTAATAACAATAATACAATGTAATTAAATGTATCAATAATAATTATACTAAAAATAAAAATAAAATGTATTTAAATTTAATAATAATAATACAATTAATAATAATAATAAAATGTAAAAATTTATTATTATTATTAGTAGTAGTAGTAGTAGTAGTATTAGTATTATTATTATTATTAATAATAATTTAATTACACTATTATTATTATTATTATTATTATTATTATTATTAATTTTATACTAGTAATAATAATAAAATGTAATTTTATTTTTTATTTGTTTAATATTATTTTTTTATCAATAATATTATTAAATTGCATCAAATGTAATTATTATTATTATTATTATGAAATTTAATTATTTTATTTTTATATTACTACTACTACTACTACTACTATTATTATTATTATTATTATTATTAATAATAATAATAAATTGTATTAAATTGTATTATTCATATTAATATTTTATTTTATTTTATTATTAAATTGAATTTCATTTTATTTATTTTTATATTTCTATATTTTTATCATTTTATTATTATTAATATTATTAAAATATATAAAGTTATTATTATTAAATTCAATTTTATTAAATATTAATAATAATAATAATTATTATTATTATTATCTTATTTAATTACATTTATTATTATTATTATTATTATTATAATTATTACATTTTATTGAATTATTATTATTATCAAGCTTAATAATAATCATCATTATTATTATTATTAAATTTATTAAACATTTATTATTACAAAAGTTAATATCAATATTCTTATTAAATTTACATTTTTACATTTTACATTTATTATTATTATTATTATTATTATTATATTTAATTACATTTTACTATTATTATAATAATAATTATTATTAAATTGTATTAAGTTAAATTATTAAAATGAATATTAATAATAATAACAATATTAACTATTATTATTATTATTATTAAATTTAATATTTTTATTATTACTAAAGTTAATATTAATATTCTTATTTAATTTAATTATTATTATTATTATTATTATTGTTATTATTATTATTATTACTATTATCATTATTTTAATGAATTTAAAGATGACCAATTCCGATGCAACGTCTCATTTTCAAGGGGTTTCCATAAAGACATAACAAAAAGACAAAAACAAAAAATACTATTTATTTTTAACGTTATTAATAACAATTATTACTTTTTAAGGACTTTTTTATTAATATAAATATTTAAAAAATGGTTGTTCAACTGAAAAAAAAAAAGTTCTGTAACATTATTTGCTATATCATTCAAATCTTAATGTCTGTTTTATGGTAAATATATCATATAAATGTGTACTTTTATTTTGCAAGGATGCTTTAAATGAATCTAAACTGATTTAAATCGTCACTAATTGGTACGGCATTCCCCCTCTGATGACACGTACAAAGAGAGAATGTCAATCAAAGTGTTTCTGCAGACTGTTTTTATCAAGTGTGATTATAAAAAAGTAGATTTAATAAGTTTTACCATAAGATACTCATTATATTCGCACAACTGTGTTTAAACCCATTAAAGAAGTGATTTTTACATAATGGGTCCTCTTTAAGAATCTTGTTTTGTTAGATGCACAATAAGTGGGTCTGTTGTTCTTATTACATCATTCTATGTGTGTAAATGTGTGTGTTTAGACTCTATGAAGCGTCTGGAGGAGCTGTTGTCCTGGTGTCAGAAGAATACAGTGGGATACGAGCATGTGAAGGTCAAAGATCTGAGCGAGTCTTGGAGGTCTGGTCTGGCTCTCTGTGCTCTCATCCACAGCTTCAGACCTGAGCTTGTGTAAGACCCAAAACCAGAGGATTAGCATTACTAATTTAAAATGGAGAGTTTGGCTTTTAATGGATAGATAGATAGATAGATAGATAGATAGATAGATAGATAGATAGATAGATAGATAGATAGATAGATAGATAGATAGATAGATAGATAGATAGATAGATAGATAGATAGATAGATAGATAGATGGATGGACAGAGAGCTGGATGGATGGATGGATGGATGGATGGATGGATGGATGGATGGATGGATGGATGGATGGATGGATGGATGGATAGGCGGATGGATGAATGGATGGATGGATAGGCAGATGCATGCATGGATGGATGGATGGATGGATGGGCAGATTGATGGATGAATGGGTAGATAGACGGACTGATTAATGAATGAATGAATGGATGTATAAAGGTATGGATGGATGAATGGACAGACGGATGGATAGACGGACCGCTGACTGGATGTTTAAATGGTTGCACAGACCGGTGGATAAATGGAGGGAAGGAAAGATTAATGAATGGATGGATGTATAAATGGATGAATGTATGAGAGGGCAGACAGACAGATGGATGGACAGCTAAATGGATGTATAAATGGATGAACAGAGGGACGAAGAGATGGATAGATTAATGAATGGATGGATGTATAAACAGATTGATGGATGAACAGACAGATCGATGAACAGACTGCTGAATGCATGTATAAATGGATGGAAGGATGGGCAGATTAATGGAGGGATGGAGAGATAGACAGATTGATGGATGGATGGATGGATGGATGCATGGATGAACAGACAGATGGATGGACGGACAGCTAAATGGATGCATAAATGGATGGATGGCCAGACGGATTGATGAATGGAGGGATGGAGAGACGGGCGGATTGATGGATGGATATATAAACGGATGGATTGGTGGATAGATGATAGATAGATAGATAGATAGATAGATAGATAGATAGATAGATAGATAGATAGATAGATAGATAGATAGATAGATAGACAGACAGACAAACAGATAGATAGGAAGATTATAATACACCAATATATACCAATCATATGCATTCTGTCCTCTTTTCAGTGACATGTCGGCTCTGGATGAGTATAATATCATCAAGAACAATAAGTTGGCTTTTGATCTGATGGAGAAAGAGTTCGGCATCACCCCCATCATGCGGCCCGGCGATATGATGACCTGTGGTAAAATCGACCAGCTGTCCATGGTGGTTTACCTCACACAGATACGCAACGCTCTTACTGAGAAAGACACACCAGCAGGTAACACTATGACTGAATCTCAGACAGCTTACATGCGCATCATCACCACTAGGTCAGGTGGATTTTTTTTTTATGTTTATTTTTTTCGCAATTAAGTTTTTAAATTGTGGTTGAATCATTATTGATTCTCAATAATAGTGAATCTGCTTTTGTGTATTCTTTACTCCAGGGTTTTTTTTTTTAATTATGTGATTTTTAATTTTGTAGTATTTGAATTTGTCATGGGCGCCATTGTGGCTCGGTGTTTAGCACTGTTGCCTCACAGCCAGTGGCGTAGCGGACGGGCCCGCAAGGCACTCACCGCGGGTGGGCCCCATGAGATTAGGGGGCCCCACGTCTTCACGATTTTCAATAATTGAAAATCCCGGAACCGCAATTCAACTCAAACTCTTGGTAACAACTGTGGACGGAACCAAAGTTCACAGGTCTGTGTTCTCTGAACACCTCTCAAGCGGTGGACTACTTCATGCTTGCCGCCGCTGTTTCTCGCCGCTGTTTCTCGCCGCCGGTTCTCGTTAAAAAATGAATGACTTCTGGCTACTTTGACGCTCTCGCCGCTTTCGGTTTGTGATCGCTTCTCAGTTTGTGAAGGATTCCCCGCGTTGTTGCTCCGCCTCCTTTCCCCGCTCCACAATTTGTGACATAGATATATACACTAGATATTGTATAGGGACCCTGAACATACGTCAATAGCGCCGCCACATTGGTACAGTGCTCCCAGGACAAATGTCATTCAACCGCACTAGTCAAGACAGTGTTATTACGTGAAGATGCGGGACTTTAGCGCTGTCTACTAGTGTAGTAACGAGCAAACAAAGCACAAAGGCAGAACATTTCATTGGTAAGATGAAGTTTTTTTACGTTTTTGTATGTTCTGAAATTTGTGCTAAACAGGTAACGTTATTGATGATAAAACAGTCACTTACTGCATTCAGCATAATCAAAGTAGCTCCAACTCGCACTAAACACTCGGCTTATGCTAGTTTTGTTGAATAAAATCAGCAAACAATGCAAAAGAAATATGACAACGAGATGCTGCGCTGCCAGAAACTTGTATTATTGTCAGCCAGTGAACGAGTCGTTCATAACGGAGATTCATTCTCAAACAAATCGCTCCCTCCATCAGTAAGAGAAGTGAAAGCAGGAGAGGAGCTGTGTTTTAGGACACGAATTAGATCAAATTTAACAGGGAGGGTGAATAGTACATTTCTGTACACACAAACACAAGCTTTTTGTCAGGAATGCCCGCGCGATCAGTGATCTATCAATGTAGAAAAGTGATGTAAAATTATAATTTTCATTATAAAAAAAAATATACTAACATCCAGGAAAACTCCCGATCATAGATATATGTGTATCCGAAGGAGAATGAATGAATGAATGACGAATTTGTCTTTCAAATAGTATTTTTATTTTATTGTTTATTCACTTGGTTGTTTTTGTCCTTTGAAATGTATTTTTTTATTTATTTTTCATATGCATCTTTTGTTGGACATTTTGTTGGAAGCTGCTTTGGATTACATTTTATGTTGTTATATACAGCCTTTTTTGTGTATTTTCGGTTATTTTGTGTATTTAGTGTCATTTTATGCTCTAAATGATGAAATTTTCATTTTAAGTAAAATGCAATCAGTGCAGAGGACAGAACAAATGATTAAAGAACAAAAAATCACATTTTACGCGAGCACAGCTATAAATTCAGACAAACTTAAAATATGTAATATGTTTGTAAAGTGCAATAGTTTTTGCTATTATAATTCTTGTTGTTGTTATTGTTGTTGATATTATTATTATTATTATTGTTATTATTATTATTATTATTATTGATATTGATATTGCCACAGCCATATCACCCTGCAGCCCAAGAGCGGTTAATCACTGAAGCTAAGAAGGGTTGAGCCTGGTCAGTACCACATGGGAAAACTAGGTTGCTGTTAGAAGTGGTGTTGGTGAGGCCAGCAGGGGGTGCTCAACCTGCAGTCTGTGTGAGTTCTAATGCCCCAGTTTAGTGAAGAGAACACTATACTGTCAGTGAGCGTTGTCTTTCAGATGCAACGTTTAACTCCAGCCTGACTCTCTGTGGTCATTAAAAATATCATGATAAAATAATAATAATAACAAAAATATTATTATTATTATTATTATTATTATTATTATTATTATTATTATTATTATTAATAATAATAATAATAATAATTATTATTATTATTATTTTTATTATATTATTATTATTATTATTATTATTATTATTATTCATATATTATGATTATAATAATAATTATTAATGTTATTATCATTATTTTCATTATTATTATTAATGTTCTTTTTATTATTATTATTGTTATTGTTATTAATATTGTTATATTAGAAGTGTTATTGTTATTATTATTATTCATTCATTTATACATTTTCTTTTCGGCTTGTTCACTTTATTATTATTATTAATATAGTTATTATTAGTAGTATTAATGCCATTATAATTATATTATGCTATTATAATATTATCATCATCATCATCATTATTTTTATTAATGTTATTTTTATTATTAATGTTATAATAATAGTAATAATAATGATTATTATTATTATTATTAATGTTATTATTATTATTATTATGATTATGATTATGATTAATAATATTTTTATTATTGTAATTATTATTAATGTTGTTGCTATTATTATCAATATTAATATTATTATTATTATTATTATTATTATTATTGTTATTATTATATTAATGTTTTGTGTATTTCTTTGGTTATTTTGAAGTGCCATTTTTCTTTTGTTCTGTATGACAACAGTTTACTTTTAAATTCAGAAAAAATGTCATCAGTGGTACAGTACAAATCCGCAAAATCTGAAAATTATAATAGCTCATAATAGATTTATTTTCCATAATCATACAACATATATAATACACAGCCCACTATATTTGTCTTAAAAAACACCTATTACTGATATGATGATTACACACATTACAAACAGAAGAGGTGGGCTGAGTGGTACTGTCTCTTTAAGACCCCTTCCCATCATGCTCTGCTGTGCACGGGCAGTATCTGCTGTAGTCTGGAGTCTGACAGCAGAAGCAGCAGCAGCAGCTCATGGGCGATGATGTGGGAGTAAATCTGATACACACCATTCTGAAAGACGAATAATAATCCAGCATCTGCAGAGGATCTCATACAGATGTGCTCCAGGTTGAGCTGTCACTCACGCAGGCTCTGGATGTGTGTTTTCTGGGGAAGGGGGTGGGATCCCATTCAGCCACTGCAAACCACTGCAGAGTGAATGTGACGATTGCTTTCACTTTAAAGGGTAGGAAGTTCTCGCTTGATGTGTTCATGTAGGATTTCAGTTTTGTTGTGGTTTGCATTTGTTTTTATGAATTGATGTAATCGTTTAGTTTGAAATGCATGGTTTATGTAAAATTGTGTCTGAATTGTGAAATGAGAGCTTGCATTTATTAGATTATCAAAATGAGGCTTTCCTGTTCAGACATGATTTGTTTTATTTTAAAATGTATTTTATTTAAAGAGGTCCTCATTTTTTCACATTCTTTTGCACTATATTTATTATATAATTTTATATACTTTTATTTGAATTAAAATTTAATTATACTGTATTTACATTAAATTGTCTATTCACTTTATTGTTTTGTTCCTTGAATGTTTATACTTGACATATATTTAAAAAATAAAAACTAAAATTCAAAGGGTTGCTAATAGTTCTGACTTCAACTAAAAATCTTTTTACAATTATTTATAATACATTTATATATTATAATACTATATATTACATATATATATATTATAATACTATATATTATATAATAATATATTTTACATTTTATTTATTTGTTTTCTTAACATGTAATGTTGTTACTTTGCTATTATTGATTTTATTTTTTTGTGTATATATCAAAAATTTTGTGTTTTTTGTTTCGTTTTATTAAATTCAACTGCATTTGCTTTGTTCTCTAAATAGTCTTGCTGTTGATATTTAATACTATTTAGTTGTATGTTGTTTTTTATAAATGTATTTTTAATTAGTCTTTCAGTTTCACAGTTCCTATTTTTTCACTGTTGATTTTTTTTTAAATTTTATTTGTAATTTTAATGATTTTATTTTATTATTATTTTTAAATTTCTTTTTCAAAATTTATATATTACATTTGATTTATTTTCTTGTTTTTTTCATATGTAATATAACTTATGTTGTTACTTTGAAAAGTTGCTCATGTACAGTTTAACATTTTTTGTTGTTGCTATTTATTATAGATTTTTAAAAAATCGATTTATTACATGTAGTTTTATTTCCTTTATTCTTTTCATTGCTTTGCTGTTGATATTTATTATTATTTTTTAGATGCATGTTGTTTTTAAAAAATATTTTTATTTAATCTTTATTTTAAAGTTCATAATTTTTTCACTGTTTATTTTTGTACTGGTTTTATTTATTTATTTATTTTATTATACAGTATTTTACTTTATTTTCTGTTTACTTTTTATTCTTTGAATGTTTATATTTATTTTTCATTTGTTTTGCATTTTATTTAATTTTTTATATATGTGATGTAATTTATGTTGTTACTTTAATATGTATTTGTAAAATTATTGATTTTATTTTATTATGTGTATATATTCTTTGTATTTAATGTACTTATTACATTTAATTTGATTTGCTTTATTATTTTAATTGCATTGCAGCATTGCTATTGATGTTACACACACACACACACACACACACACACTCTGTTTATTTTAATTTAAGGGCTAAAGATTTAAACCTTAAAATGGCTTTAAAAAATTTAAATTGGCTTTTATTGTAGCTGAAATAAAACAAATAAGACTTTCTCCAGAAGAAAAAAATATTACTATTATAATATTACTAATAATATTATACAGACATACTGTGAACATTTCCTTGCTCTGTTAAACATCATTTGGGAAATATTTCAAAAAGAAAGAAAAGTTATTTGTTATTGCTTTGAATAATAGTTCATGTAATTTTTTGTTGTTGTTTGTTCACGTTTTTTTTCTTTTTCTGTAGTTCAAAAAGTGTTGAACTTCATTGCTAAACGTACTCATTTTAATTTCTGCACCTCTCATATGTAAACAGATTTTTAAATTGGTCCAGTTTAAGGCTGCACAATATATTGTTTCAGCATCGATATCGCAATGTGTGTGCTCAATAGTCACATCGCAGCGTATGATACAGTATGTTGAGGGATTATAGTTGATCAGAACAACAATTGAGAATACATGAGATTTGTGGCGTCATCGTATAATAATAACAGGGTGAAACTTTATTATTTGCATGTGTTTTAAATACATTTTAAGAGAGTTCAAAGCATTTGGGCACAAAAAGTAACGCAGTTGTAACTTTAATGAAGAATAATTTAACTGAATTATTAATACAATGAAGACTATACAGTGTTGTTTCACATTTCATTATTTAATTTCTGAACCAGAATACTGTTTGACTTCCAGAAAACTATAATGCACTGTTTATTTGACTTTTTTCTTTGCTCTATTGCAATTATTTTTGCTAGCTATTTGTTTATTATTGTTTATAGATGATTCACAGCCTTACAAAGTCACACCAATCTAAATTCAAGATTTTTTCTAAATAGAGGTATTTAGGCCATCTGGTGAAATCGTCTTTATATCAGAATATTGCAGAAAAACAAAATATCGCAATGTCCGATTTTTCCAATATCGTGCAGCCCTAGTCCAGGTCTATTTCCTCACACATTCGTGTCTCACTTTTGTCCTTCTGTGTATTTCAGCGCAGTCCAACACACTCTCCCTGTCCAGAAAGCGTTCAGCCGTTGCCTTCCTCAACACACTCAAACGCAACTCTCTGCAAAGACATAAGGTACACAAACACCTGCCTGTTATCATGCAAAACAAACCCTTTCTGTTGACATTACAGCATTGCTTTCTGTCGGAGGTCGTCAGTTGTGTGTGTTGGGTTAAATAGAGCATGAAGTCCTCTATTGTAACAAAACCACAGTGTTGATGAAAAAACACTGTTACACACACACACACAGCTGTTTCGAAAGACAGTTACTCCCATGCGTTATACGGAAGTTTAAGTGAATTATAAAAGGATGAGATGAAGAGTTGATCGTGCTTGCTTGATAATGCAGGATAATCGTGAAATCATTGTTTATTTCTGTCCATTTGCGTTATGTAAGCTGAGCTGTAAATGAGATCATGTGACCTGTGTGTGTGTGTATCTCTGTCTCTCAGGATCGACTGGCATCCGTGAAAGGACCAAGACAGCAAAACATGAAGGAGAAAGAAGAGAAGAAGGATGTGAAAGAGGAAAGTGTGAGTGCTGAAATTGTTTCTCAATGACATTTAGCAACAGTGAATGTTAGGACTGCACAATATATCGTTTCAGCATCGATATCGCAATCCGCAATAGTCAAATCGTACGATGTTCAATGTGTAGTCTGGATTATAGTTGATCAGCACAACAGAACTCAAGAGATTTGTGGATACTAAAGGGACAGTTGATCATTTGATTTATTTTGTAAGCGGTGGTCCATTGCTGGTTCATGCATACAGTTATTAACACAGTTAACGGTGCAGTATGTAAGATTGACACCCAGTGGTTGAACTAGGTATTGCACTCATAATTTGAAACACTTTTTCACCCAAGGTTTTTTTTTCCTGACATCACTCAAATGCAGGGTGCCAGATTGACGCTACCAACAGGGGAACAGGACATTTGTGTCTCACAATTATAATATTGATATTATTTGCTAATTAAAAACTACCGCTTGTGGATTTTTATAACTTCGATTCTGCGTCTTATTTCGGAGGCTGCTGCTGTCCTCCGGAGGTCACATTTTGGGCTGTGCATAAATGCATTGATGCAGCCTACAAGACTGAAATGTAATACGGTGTGTTTTCCACCAGGGCATCGCAGAGTGCTTAAATATAATTGGATAAACTAGCAGTGAGCTGGTTATAGAGATTAAAACAGCCAAATCACAGCCTTATCACCCTGCAACCCAAAACTGGTTACTCACTGAAGCTAAGCAGCCTGGGTTTATACATATATATATATATAGTCGGTCTGTTTTATATGTTTTACTAATGAACTGCTTACTAATATGAACTAATAAATTAGTTAATAAACTAATAAAAATTCTTTTTTCTTTATGATAATTGGAAAAAAAACTAAAATTTGCGGCTTTGTAATTATCATATTGTTTTGTGACTCTTGTCTTATCTCCAGCTCTCCTCAGAGACGAGTGCATGTGAACCCTGTTATTTCTGCAAGAAGCATCTGTATGTGGTGGAGAGAGAAAGTGCAGAGGGAAAGTTCTTCCATCGCAGCTGCTTCAACTGTTTTCAGTGCGGCTCCACTCTGCGGCAGGGCGGATACTCTTTTCACTCTGACAATGGTAAGACTAGAATCTATTATTTTTGATACTTTCTATTATTTAGAATTATATATATATATATATATATATATATATATATATATATATATATATATATATATATATATATATATATACATACATACATACATACATACATACATACATATATATACACACACTTGAAGTCACAATTATTAGCACCCCCGTTTATTTTTTTTCTGTTTAATGAAGAGATTTTTTTCAACACATTTATAAACATAATAGTTTAAAAAAAACGTATCTCTAATAATGGTTTTATTTTGTCTTTGCCATGATGACAGTAAATAATATTTTACCAGATGTTTTTCAAGACTCTTCTATACAGCTTAAAGTGACATTTAAAGGCTTAACTAGGTTAATTAGTTTAACTAGGCAGGTTAGGGTAATTAGGCAAATTATTATGGATCTACGGTTTGTTCTGTAGACTATCGAAAAAATAGCCTAAAGGGCTTATAATTTTGTCCTTAAAATGGTGTTTAAAAAAATTTAAAACTGCCTTTATTCTAGTCGAAATAAAGCAAAGAAGACTTTCCACAAAAGGAAAAATATTATCAGACTTACTGTGAAAATTTCTTTGCTCTGTTAAACATCGTTTGGGACATATCAAAAAAAGAAAAAAATTCAAAGGGGGGCTAATAATTCTGAATTCTTCAACTGTATATATTATGCTCGTAGCAGTGCAATATGGCTGTATATCGGCACTAGTGGAAGGCGTGCGTTGGCTCAAGTGCCTTTGTGTCCCACCAGTTATGCTAAACAGCCTTATTGCACTGCTACGAGTGTGATATTGTGTTTATACAACAGTTCGACAGCATAATCTTGTGTATAAAAAAGAAAATCAAAGACAAAATCTCAAAGTCTTAAAAGTACTTTTTTCTGCCATTCATTCACTGTCAGCTGACGGTCATTTGAAACTGTTGCTTAAAAAGACGTCACTTTAGAGCTAGTATTTGAATGATTCTCTTGCGTAATATCTAAAGTGCTGACAAAACAGGTGATTTTTGCTCACAAAGCAAACACTACCAGATTACTATGGTATAACTACAGCACTACAACATACAAAAAAAGACATCGACTTAGAGTGTCACTTACTTGTTCTGTAATGATTTGATCAGCTGTAGTTTGAAATGCTGTAAGACAATGCAGATTTTTTTCCCCTAAGGACTTTGCTCTGCTCAATATCACAGGCTGATGTTCGCCGTATAGTAGTTCGATGTGTAGTTGTTTTGAGCCTAAAAGCCTCAAAAGTACATTATGTTGTCCTACGGCTGCAATATTTGTCAAACTGTAGAGACTTTATTGATCTGCTGTCACTCCATGGGGGCAGAGTAAAACACAAGGGTGAAGAGGCTGTTCGAGTGCTGTTATTGCAGAATATCAGCAATTGGTACCAAGATTCGAGAACCTGACAAAACTGTTGTATAAATAAAGTAATTAATATTTCTATATATCATACATTTTTTGACGTTTTAATTTAATAATTATTGTAGTGTGTGTGTATATATGTATACAGTTGCAGTCAGAATTATTAGCCCCCCTGAATTATTAGCGCCCTTGTTTATTTTTTTTCCCCAATTTCTGTTTAATGTAGGGAAGATTGTTTCAGCACATTTCTAAGCATAATAGTTTTAAACAATTATTTCTAATAACTGTTTTATTTTATCTTTGTCATGATGACAGTAAATAATATTTAACTTGATATTTTACAAGACACTTCTATATAGCTTAAAGTGACATTTAAAGGCTTAACTAGGTTAATTAGGGTAACTAGGCAGGTTAGGGTAATTAGACAAGTTATTGTATAACAGTGGTTTGTTCTGTAGATTATCGGAAAAACAAATTAACTTAAAGGGGCTAATAATTTTGTCCCAAAAATGGTGATTTAAAAATTAAAATCCGCTTTTATCCTAGCCGAAATAAAACAAATAAGATTTTCTCCAGAAGAAAAAATATTATCAGACATACTGTGAACATTTCTTTGCTCTGTTAAACATCTTTTGGGAAATATTTCAAAAAGAAAATCAAAATCAAAAGGGACTTATAATTTTGACTTCTACTATGTGTATATATATATATATATATATATATATATATATATATATATATATATATATATATATATATATATATATATACATATAACATGTGTATATATATGCAGTATAAAAATTTTCATAATTTCTAAAAAAATATGTCAACACTGCTTTCTGTACATTTCGTATATTACATAATACACTTCCTTTTATTATTTATCACACGTTTGTCTCTCATCTGCTGTCATAAGGACTAAAACATTTTGATGTTACATAAAAAATTTCATAAGCCTTTAAATCATCTAACATGCAGAATGTATTAGATTATCATTATTACAGTACGAACACCTGACATGCCTTTGAAAATGCTCAACATCACTTTTTAGTTTCACCTGTAATCGACGATTCCTACACGATACTGCTTTTCCCTAAAAAAAACAGCTTGTTCAATAATTCACTGAGTGTTTTGAAAAATGCATGTACATCCCCATTACAATCCTCTACATGCACAGCTGATCCAGAGCATGCTGTTGAATTTGATTTGTCTTCAGGGAGGTTTTACTGCGAGCTGCACTCACTGGCTGAGGAAGAGGAGGGTGATGAAGGTCATGGAGGCGCACAGGTATGAATCCCATCACGCCTAATGAGACGCTTGATTGCCTCCTGCATGTGAGGATACTGGGAATGAGCTTTATTATTGCGCCGAGTCTGTGGGTAGCATAAAAGCTTTTATTACTAAGACATCGTACTGCAGCTCATGCATGCAAATTATCTATAAGAAGTGTGATTTATTTAGACAGAATAATATGGTCTTGCCTATACTATATTTTCTGAAAGATTCTCAGTTCTAGTCGTTGAGGAGGATTGATGTCGTGTTGCTGTTGAGTTGCTAGGGTGTTTTTTGTGGTTGCCAGGTAGTTTATTTCCAGGCTTTAGTGTGCAGCTGGGTGTTGTTTATGTTTTTATGACACTGGAGATGAATCAATACTTTTAAAATGGTACTAGTGTCTGAATGGTGCCTGAGGGGGAAAAGGGGGATCAAAACAACCATAGATGACATTTTTAAAGGTGCTGTATGCATGCTTTTATCTCTTCTAAAGCATAACAATACCATAAAGTTTAAAAAGCATAGTTGATTTAATTGTTTATCTGAAAAGCAATGCTAAAGCCAGTTATTTGTCTTTAAAAGTCCATCTCTGTTTTGGCCTTTGTAACATATTTTTAGTTTACCCAATTATATTTTACCACCCCGGGTTGCCCTGGCAGAAAACACAGCATATTTAATTTCACTCTTAAAGGCTGCCTCGGTGTATGTGGACATGTGAACTCTGGAGGATATTTTCAAGAAGTCTATTCCAGAGTTCAGGAGCCATATATGAGAAGGCTCAACCTCCTTTAGTGGACTTTGCTGTACCGGGTACTACCAGAAGCTCTGAGTTTTGAGATCTTAAAGAGCTGGTTGGATTGTAGCCAGCAATACAGTGCCAGGTATGTCCCGTGGAACATTGTTTAAACAGTAAATGCATTAGCACTCATTTTTGTCCCTGTGGATTTGCAGTTCTGAAATGGAGGTGCATTGTTGGCGGGTTGTTATTTTGAGGCAACTGAAATAGACAGCGTCATTGTTCAACTAGTGCGTTGGTGATTTACAGTCAGGTCCATAATGCACTTATTACAGCACACAAACATCTTTAAATATAAAAAAAAATATTTTATATTTATAAAAAAAAGAGAGGAAAATTTTACTGTGCATTGCTACATGGCACTAAGGTGCACACGGTGACCAGAGTTCGATACCCGGCTTGAGGGCCTTTGCTGATCTTTCCTATTTCTCTACTTCCCACATTTTCTTGTCTGTACTCTGTTTTCCCAATAAAGGTTAAAAAAAAATCTGTCAGTCCCTTTTGTCAGATAAAATTTATAATTTTATTTATTTTTTTGTTATTTTTCTTTACAATCTGTGTCAATCCAGGCCGGTCATGGTGGATGCGGTTGCATTTTCCACAGTTGTGCCGAAAACGGATCTACTTGAAAACGCAAGTGTAATGTAAACAGCAGTTCTGTTTGGTTTTTTTTTTTCCTTGATACTTTGCTTTAAATGGCAAAAAATAAATAGTTCTCTCCAACTTACTAGCCTGCTGTGGAGAAAACGGTAGCCAATTTTGCATAATAGTCAATTTGCATAATTTCCATCATAAACGGCATTCGAAAATAAAATTATTGTATGCCAGTTTGTTGAAATGAGGTTTCCAAAGTTACTCAGAAGTACTGTGTCCAGTTGAATTGAATAGCTAAAATGGCCCGCGATACATATCATGTTTGATGTGAATTAACGTTGTTTATGTATTTTAAGTACATACACCGGTATAAACTTTTAACAAACTACAAACATGGCAGATGTGCAAGACGGTCGGTTAGGCATGTAAAGATGATTGAAAGATTGTTGATTAATAGCTAACCTTGTTGTAATAATTCATTTGCAACAACAAAGGGAACTGAATACTGAATCCATTAATATCTGAATGTATAATTACTTATACCTGATGAGATTTTCATCCTGCATGAAAGGCCTGCCAATGGCTGATTAAGGTGCTGCTGAATCTCCAATTCAATATATGGGAAAATAAATTTGACAGAAATGTGGATGATGGGACGAGAAGATTGACAGGGCACATAATAAAAAATAAAAATGGCATTTATGCCCATTTTAGTTGCTTTAAACAAATATTTAAATGCCTTAATCTTATTATTAGCATTTTAATCAGAGTTTGTCTACAATTCAGTATATACAATGTTCATCGTTACTTTAAATTGCCATTTCTGTGCAAAGTACTTCAGAGAAAATGCTGTTTTATGTTGTATTTTTAGCTTTTAGTTGCTGTATCAAATTGCCAGTGTTGTAGTATTGTTCCAAGTGCATCTCAAAATGCTCACACTGCACACCAGTACGCATTGCTGCTGAACTGCTTTCATATTTCCACACCTCAGACATTTTAGATGCGCAATTCTGCCACCAACTGCACTATCCAATTACAACACCTACGTTACAGCTGACATCAAAATAAAGGCCTGGGCTTCAGATAGCTGGTACTGATCATTTATAAAAGGCCTTAAAGGGACAGTTCACCAAAAAAATAAAATCATTTCCTCAACCCTGATTTGTTCAAAACCTATTTGACTGTCTCTCTTATGTTAAAAGCAAAAGAAGATATTTAGAACAATGCTGGTGGCTTGCACCCATTGACTTCCATAGTATTTTTTTTTTTGCTATGGAAGCAACCAGCATTCTTCAAACTATCTGCATTTCTGTTCAACAGAAGAAATAAACTCTTGGTAGGTTTAAATCCACATGAGGGAGAATAAATATGTTGTTTTTATGTTGAATTATATTTAATCAATCATGATTCCAGTACAGGGGTTTCCAAACTCGATCCTGGAGGGCCGTTATCCTACTGAGTTTAGCTCCAACTTGCATCAACACACCTGCCCGGAAGTTTCTAGTATATTTAGTAAGAGCTTGATTAGCTGGTTTAGGTATGTTTGATTAGGGTTGGAGCTAAACTCTCCAGGACACTGGCCCTCCAGGACCGAGTGTGGACACCCCTGTTCTAGTGTCATCGGCTTGAGACCTGCCTTGTTATTTGTTATATTGGTATGATAGCCTTGTGGTCTTCACTAAGGTAATCTCAGCCTTTTTTTTTCTTCGTGATCGACATGATATGACACGATCTAATGTGGGTCAGCTGCTGCGTCCGGAGAACCATTTCCGGAGCTTTCTTGCTGTTGTGCAGAATGATGTTTTACGCTGTGGGACTGTGCTGCAAATCCATTTGTGTGTGTGTGTGTGTGTGTGTGTGTGTGTGTGTGTGTGTGTGTGTGTGTGTGTGTGTGTGTGTGTGTGTGTGTGTGTGTGTGTGTGTGTGTAGAACAAGCTTCTGTGTGAGTAATGCTTCTGAGATTGGATTCCTAGTGGTTGGTCATAAGACTCTTATAGAGCCGATGCAGTTTTCTTTAAGCGTTTTGCTGTGACATTTTGTTGCACTAGGCAGCCTAGTCTGTTATTAACCTGAAGATGAGCAGTTTCAGTAAAATGCATAAACACACACCTATATAATGCAAGAGTGAACATTTGTTGGCTTTGCTTGGTTAGTTTTAAGGGGATCTGCTTTAGGGTTTTGCCATTTGGGGTGAAAAGTCTAATTGCAATTTTTCTAACTGATATTGTGATTTTTTTTTTTTTTTTTTTTTTTTTTTTTTTTTTTTTTACAATTTATTTTAATTTGCAATTGATTTTAATAAACTGCTTCTTAATAGTGGAAGTGAGTGAAAGGAATAAGAGGGCGTCCGCGGGGTCTTAAAAATGATTAAAAGTTGATAAATCAATTATGAGAAAATTAAGGCCTTTAAAAGGTATTAAAAATTTTAATCGAATTTTTACGCGGTCTTAAATTTTGTTGTCCAAAGTGTTTGACTTCAAAACAGCATAAATATATTGATAATATTAACAACGGTGTACTCCATCTACATGATTGGTTTAGGCCAGGGCACTTCTGGCCAAGCCCTCCGTCCTGGTGATGTCACATAATTTGTGACAAATGCAGGAAGGCGATCTGACGCTGTCCACATGTAGCGAAACCATAGAGCAGCAAAATGGGCAAATGTAAGTTTGCGTACTCCTGGCTGAAGAAAGACGAGTTTAAACCGTGGCTGAAGCCTGTCGATGAAAACAACCACTTTAATTTATTCTTTCGATCTTTGTTTCTTCCGAGCTTATCTGAGTTCTGTTGCATGGTTGTGCTCTATTCATTAATTTAACTACAACTGTTTATTAGCAACTGTTTATTAAGTTAAAGGTTCGATACTGATTAGAACTTGAAGTGGCGAAGAGGTCTTAAAATATTCTGAGAATATCTTTAAAAAGGTATTTGAATTACCTGCAGGGTTTCTGCATACAGTATACCCTAAATAAGTGAAAGAAATGCAACATGCGTAAACTGTTTATATAATTAATTGTATTCTATATGCAATGTGTAGTCATCCATTCAGTCAATCATTTCATATGTAAATCATATAATCATTTCATATATATACATATACATACAGTCAGAATTATTAGCCCCCCTTTAAATTTTATTTTTTTTTTGTCTTTTTTTAAATATTTCCCAAATGATGTTTAACAGAGCAAGGTAACATTTTCACAGTATGTCTGATAATATTTTTTCTTCTGAAGAAAGTCTTATTTGTTTTATTTCGGCTGGAATAAAAGCTGTTTTTAATTTTTTTTAACACCATTTAAGGGACAAAATTATTAGACAATATTATTACCCCCTTTAAGCAAATTATTATTTTTTTGATAGCTTACAGAAAACAACCATCGTTATACAATAATAATTTTTTGTATAATTGGGCTAATAATTCTTCAACTATCTATATATATAAACCATTTGGTATAGGTTTAAATTATTTATCTATCTATTTATATATATATATATATATATATATATATATATATATATATGTAAGTATGTATATATGTATGTAAGTATGTATATCTGTGTGTGTGTATATATATAACTATATATATATATATATATATATATATATATATATATATATATATATATATATATATATATATATATATATATATATATATATATATATATATAACTAGCGAAATTACGAGTTAAAAAATCCAATCCAAAAACTTTTTGGAGGGGCAGTTAAAAAGCTGAAATATCTCTATGATGCTTACAAAAAATGTAAAATTGTGTTTTATTCATTTTCTAGAATCATACTGAGAACGGAAGTAAGGAGGACAAAAATGGAGAAACAACAGCGGCTTCATCCCCACCTGCGCATCTCTCAATAAAGCGTAAGGGCTCGTACAAGATCTCTGTTGACCCTGACTTTGATGAATCAACTGAGTTTCCTGCTCCAGACCAAGATGAACCACCTGATCTTGAGGAGTCCCATCAACCTCCCAAACCTTCAGAGCTCAGTGCGGAAAACACAAACATGGAAAACCAACAACACAACATCAATCCAGTTCCTGCCCCGCGTGGCTCCAGAGCTCCGCTCCCGAAACCTCGCACTGTCCATAATGTGGTGCACGAACCCTGTAATATTCCAGAGGAAGCAGAGCAGATTCCTGAGGAGCCCAAACCCAAACCGTCCCTGCGCAAACTCCAGCAGAGCGAAGAGGAGAAGGTGGATCTGTTGAGCCAGGATTCAGACTCTGAGACACGGGGCTCGTCTTCTGCCGCCTCCACCTCCTCCTCATCCAAACAGCATGAAGAGGAGGGCTACTGGAGCGGAGGCACGACGTGGGGGAAGAGCCATCGTGAGCAACGAAACCGCCCCTGCATAAGGAGGAAGAGTGAACCTCCGCTGCCGCTGACTGGCCATTCTCAGCACGGAAAGATGCGCTCCAAGTTTTCCCCGTGGAATCTGTCTTCACCGCGGCTCCAGCAGCGATTCAGCGTTCACAGAGTTCCTGCAGGTTGGAAAATATTTTGAAACCTTTTTTTTTTTATTATTCATTCATTTCACTTTAGCTTAGTCTCTTATTAATCAGTGGTCGCCACAACGGAATGAACCGCCAATTAATCCATCACGTGTTTTATGCAGCCAATGCCTCTCCAGCCGCAACCCAGTACTGGGAAACTCACATTCACACAGATACACTATGGCCAATTTCATTCATTCATTTTCTTTTCGGCTTAGTCCCTTTATTAAGTTGGGGTCGCCACAGCAGAATGAACTGCCAACTTATCCAGCATATGTTTTACACAGCAGATGTTCTTCCAGCTGCTACTCATCACTGGGAAACAGCCACACACACTCATTCACACACATACACTACAGACAATGTAGCCTACCCAATTCACCTATGTGACTCTTTGGACTTGTGGGGGAAACCAGAGCACCCGGAGGAAACCCAACGAATTTGGGGAGAACATGCAAACTCCACACAGAAATGCCAACTGGCCCAGCTGGGATTCAAACAAGCGGCCTGTTTGCTATGAGGCGGCTTGAATGACAATAAGTACAATCCATGCGAACTGCATAGTATAATCTGCTCGTTTTGAACATACAGAACAATAATAAAATACAGAAAGAGCAAAGATTTGCTCTTGACATTGGTGGGGACATGCATCCCTGGAGTACATGCATTGAACATCACAAATTCCCTTTTGCACTTTTAAAAACATGAATAAAGTATTAATAATATAAAATAAACACTTAATAATACAAATAATAAACATGTCCCAAGTCAGTTAACATGATTTCACTGCAGTCAGGCTTGAGGAGGTTTGAATGTAGAGAAACATACTAAGGTGTGTGATGCCATTTATCCTGATTATTATTTTCCATAATCATGGAGGCTGAAATTGAATTCTGATTAATTGCACAGCCTTAGTTAATAGTATCACGGTGAAATCGTAGCAAACTTGACTTTGTGCACATGTAGGTTACTAAGGGTTGACAGCATTATCTTATTCTATTCTTAAATAAGTCGATTAAATTATTGGTGGGGACATTTCAGTTTTACGCCCTTAAAATACAGTTATGTAAACAGCCAAAACAATGCAATATTTAAAAAAATAAACAATTTATCAAGCTTCTGTGTTCACTGAAAAAATACATTTGCTGTTTGTTCAAGCTACTTATTTAAAGGGGTGGTCCACTACGATATCATATTTTACACTTTAGTTGATGTGTAATGTAGCTGTGCAAACATAAACAACATCTCTGAATGTAAAAAGCTCAAAGTTCAATGCAAAGGGAGACCTTGGTTTTTACAGAGTTAGCTTAGCAAAGCCTACAATGAATGAATTTTGGGGACTACACAAAGTACTTCCGGCCCTTGTGAGATCACAAAGTTTCGCTTACGAATTGCACACAAAACGCACACACACTGCGCAGCTAAGGGCCATAGCCATGCCATAAAAGTGTCAAAGGTGCTATAAAAACAATCTGCTACAGCTGACGCTATTGATTTGTCGTTAATCTAACGTAAACACATCAATCCTATGAAAAAAAATTTAAAGGCTGATGACTTTTCATTTGCAAGTTGTTGCTTTTTTTTGTAACTATTAACTATTTTTATCTTCTGTGTGTTATGGATAAAATATGGCAATTCTAAACTAAAGGGGCCCCGATCCCCACTTCGGAAACCAATTCTTTAAGGTACAATTGTGGCCCTGTAAAGTAAAAAAGTGTACCTTTTGAATAGGTACCACCCCAGTGATACCATTATTTTTGAGAGTGTAACTAACAGTGTATTAACTAATATTTACAAGCATGAATTTAGATATTCATAATGCATTAGTAAATGTAGAGCTATGAATTTTATTAGGAATTATGAATATTAAATTTTAAATATTGCACGGCTTTTGTAGTTGTGGTCTTATGGTCAGGGAGTTGGAGGTTTGATTCCCAGTCCTGACAGTTATCGTAGATGGGGGAGTGAATGATACACTGCTCCAGAAGTATGTTTACTGTCTGTGTGAGGGTGTGCAAATGTAAAAAAATTTGCAGAGGACGAATTTTGAGTATGGGTAAGCCAAGGTAACCCAAATGCTTTTTTGACCACAGCGTCTGGCTGAGTCACAAAACATTTCAGCCACTCAGCAGTAAGGGGTGTGTCCAGTAACTATAGTGGCAATATCAAAAAGGGTCTGGTTGACTATGGGCATGATTGTTTTGGTGCTTTCAAATATCAACATCGTTTGACAATTAGCTTATTCACCTTTTAATATTTTTTTGTATTTCCTTCAATGATTTTTTTTACTGATGTTTGACTTTTTTGATTTGTGTTATTTCAGTTGAACTGTACAGGAAAGAAAGGAAGTTTTAGAAATGTTATATTTTGTTTCAGTTGCTAATTTTGGTGTTTTATTCGCTCATCAGGTCAAAGTCAGCCAGATCAGTATGTATCAGAAGATGATAATGAAGATGATGAAGATGAGGATGAAGAGGACCTTCAGGCTGAACATTATTTGGATTGCGAGGTGAGATAAAGTAATATGTTTCGTAGTTGTTATATAAAGTATTTTTTTGTATTTGTTGGCACAATTTGGCTATTTCCAGTATGTCAATGTGACCATTTTTGTTATAAATGTTTCATGTACAGTACTTACTGTAGTTATTTGAATTAATTATGTATTTAAATGTTTGCAACTAACCCAAAACCCAACCTGGATTTTAACACTAACCATATTGAAAGCATATTTAAGTAACTGATTGGCCGTAAAGTGTACAGTGCATCCGGAAAGTATTCATAGCGCTTCACTTTTTTCACGTTGTTTTATGTTACAGCCTGGATTAATGGATTAAATCCATTTATTACCTCACAATTTTACACACAATACCCCATAATGACAATGTAAAAAAAGAGTTGAATTAAGTCACTTGAGCAGTGCAGTGTAAATGCGGCCTTTAAGGGATGTAAACAACAACAGTCTCAATTTATTTCCTGTTTTACATTTTTAATTTCTATAGCTTCCAAAAATCCATTAAGAGCCACATATTGATAAATAATGTCATTATAGCTGTTTTAACATTAACATTTAACATTTAACAAGTTTTGATTGAATTGCTTCTTGATGCAGTTATGAAATGGTCTATTGTGAGTTTCTTTGTGTGTGTGTGTGTGTGTGTGTACGTGTGTGTACCTGTGTGTACGTGTTTTTGTGACATATCAGGACACAAATCTGTATAATGACATGGGTATGACACAGGTATTACAAAAAGAAGGTGAAATGTGAGGACATTGGTGACGTCCTCGTTTCTCAAAATGCTTGTAAATCCTACAGAATGAGTTTAATCAGAGAGTAAAGCTGCACACAGTCTCCTGTGATGGTTGGGTTTAGGGGTGGGGTAAGGGCAATACAATATACGGTTTGGACAGTATAAAATGAATGGAAACCTATGTAATGTCCCCACTTTTCACAAAAACAAACGTGTGCGTGCGTGTGTGCGTGCGTGCGTGTGTGCGTTTGTGCGCGTGTGTGTGTGTGTGTGTGTGTGTGTGTGTGTGTGTGTGTGTGTGTGTGTGAGCTAAAAGGTGTTTACTCTGAGTTTGTGTTTATGCGTTCAGGGAGCTGATTTTGAATTTTCGGATTCAGAGAAACGCAACTTAAAGAGGATGAAAACTCTGGAGCGGAAAGCAAAAATGACTGAAATCCAGCGTTTCCACAAAGCTCAGGTGAGAAAGATCTGGTCTGCATCAAGCCTGCATAGTGTAGATTGCTTACTAGCCAAATTATTTAGAGATAGCATACATCCAGGGGGTTGTTATCACAGAATAAATCCCAACAGGTTTATCAACAGCCTAATGCAGAGCAGGGAACTGTTGTATAAGACTGAAGGGCTTTATTTTGTAGAAAAATACTATTGTAAATTGTTGTGTGCATAGTTACATTCCTAAAATGTTGTAAAAGAAAAGCTTATAGTCACATTAACATTCCACCTGAAGTTTATCGGTGGCTGAAAAACACTGGCTGTGCATATAGCCCATTGTATTTCATTGTTCACTCATGTTTACAACCTTTATTGTAAACTCAGTTGTTAGCAGTACAAGAAATCCCAGCATGAATTTATATATGAAGATGACAAAATGGAGTGTTGTAATTAAATCTGTTCTTCTCCCGTGGTGGTGTCCTGGTTTGTGACGCCTCCACAGTCGATTCAGAGACGTCTGGAAGAGATCGAAGTGACCTTTAAAGAGCTGGAGGAGAAAGGAGTGGAGCTGGAGCGAGCTCTGAGAGGAGAGACGGGTATGACAACTCATCCATCTGCAGACAAAAACACACACACACACACAGTCCACTAAAGATGCCATTTCATCATATTAGACCGCAGTCAGACCCACAGAAACCCAGAGAAATTTTTAACCCTCATAACACTTGTACGTCATAGACATGTCCATTAAATCTGTACATCTTCATCTGGGTGAATAAGTTATCAGAGATGCAATAAACAGTTCCTTCATTCAAATTATTCAACAGATTTTAAGTTTCAAGTGTTTGTTTGTTTTTTTGTTCAACCGTATAAAATGTTTGTAATGTTTTTAACTTGCACATGAATTTTATTTTAGTACTGTTTTATAGTAAGTATTCCAGGATGAAAAGCGTGTAAAGTCTGTGAGGATTTGGAGCTCTTGCAGGCGTTCTAACATTGTGAGAGTGTCTGTGTTTGTGTTTTTAGGTACAGGTGACCCTGAAATCATTGATCAGTGGATTGAACTGGTCCAGGAGAAAAACAACCTGCTGTCAGAGGAGTCTGATCTCATGGTGGCGTAAGTCTAAAAACTGTGACTAAACACAACTCGATCTTTTTTTTGCGCCCGTCAACTTTGAGATTAATGTATTATTGTAATGTAGTCTAATATAAAGAAAATTAAAGGGCTTTATTTTAACGATCTAAGTGCAAAGTCATGTCTGAATCCACTTTAGCTATTTTAAGGACGGAAAAATAGGGTTTGCGCCTCAGCGCATTGTTGCACTTATTTACTTCTGTTTTGAGCATTAAACCAATCAGAGTCTCATCACCCATTCCCTTTAAGAGTCAGTTGCATCGCGTCATGGTGCATTTGCTATTTACAAGGCGGACTTTGTAAAAGAAAAAACTGAACGCTTCACTAGCGAGAAAACAGTTAAACAGAGCATCTGCATCGCTAGGATAAAGAACAAGCCTCTTCCAGCAAACGAATAAATGAACAATAATAACAAAGTGTGGTCAAAAAACTGAGTTATATCCAAACATGCGTCTTATTTTTATTCCCTGTATAGGAATGCAGACGTCTCCCAAACCTGCCAGATAAACGAATCTAAACTTGTTTTTATTAAAACAAATATAAATATGCAAATAAAAAAATAATCTGCTAATAATAATAACATTATATATATATATAAATATAGCAAATTGTCATGAATAAACTGAAATAAGCCATGAAGAAGGCATGGAGGCAGTGGTTTTTATATTTATGTAGAAAATAATCACCTTTGTAATATTTGACGTCAATATATAGTCAATATACAGCAGAGTCGCAAACCTTAAATCTCATACTCGAGGACTAAAAAAGCTTTTATATTGTCATATAGCACAAGTATTTAAGGGTGTTGAGAGAGCACAATTTCTGTCATGTGTATATCACGTGCAAACTGTAAATCAAGCCATGGACATTACATTAAGATGCCTACTAATTTTAAAAGGCCTAGATTAAAAGTAGATGGCCAAATGAGGACTTTTCTGTCATAAACTATAGTATAACAACTTGTCAAAAAGAATTTTAAAAATGAAACCCTGCAAACAGATTAAATACAGGAGCAGAGAAATAGGCGCACTTTAATTATCAGCGGTCAGTCAGCGCCTGCTCTTTTTTTCCTGCTCATTGCGCCTTTGGCGTGTGCTGTGGAAATGCAGACAATTGGATGCGAATCCCTTTTAAAAGATGATGTAAGCAGGTCAGCAAAAAAATCGGATATGGTCACAAAATGTGAATTGACCTAAAAGATTTGCAGTGTCAATGCAGCCAAAATCTCTTCGAAGTGATTCATATCCAACTCAAATGCAATGCGGCGATGCGCGAACTGTTCTCTCGAGTCTCGGAAAAAGTTGTGCTCTCCGCCAGATGAAATGTTGTGCACCTAAAACGAACCTCATCAAACACTGCGATGACGTCACTTTCGCCGCACGCACTTAATCGAACTAGCGGATGCGTCGAGTATAAATCAGCCTTCAGTCTTTCTATACAGTTTGATATAGCGTTTGGACCTGGAAGCCGCTTCGCGTGACGTCACACTTAAGCTTTAAATGAATGCAATATTAGCTGATAAATATTGACAATACATCAGTGCATCCCTAATAAAAATTAGTGTGATTAGAATAAACGAGAATTTTAAACCCAACGGAAATGTATCTCATTTGCATATTTAAACTAGATTGTAGAAAACGGGATTCAAAAAATTGTAATCCATCAAGGGGGGAAGTTTGCTGATGACTTTTAGTTAATTTTGCTCACACTTTATGTTAAGATCCAATTCTCCCCATTAACAAACTATTCAATTGCTTATTTTTAATTGCAGGTAGGTTAAAAAGGTAGTGGTTAAGATTAGATATTAGGCAGGATTAGGGATAGTAAGTAATATTATTTATATAGCACATAAACAGTATCACACCTAAAGCACTTCACAATCATGAGGGGGATGGGGGGTCTCTCCACAACACCACCAGTGTGCAGCATTCACTTGGTTGATGCAATGCAGCCATAGGTCAACAGCGCCAGTGCGCTCACCACACTCCAGCTATTGGTGGGTGAATGGGAGGCCATGATGGGTAAGGGCTGATGAAGAGAATTTGGCCAGGACACTGGGGTTACAACACTACTCTTTACGAGAAGTGCCATGGGATTTTTTTAGAGTCAGGACCCCAGTTTAATGTCTCACTGACAGTATAGTGTCCCCTTCACTATACTGGGGCATTAGGACCCACACAGACCTCAGATTAAGCGCCCACTGCTGGCCTCACTAACACCACTTCCAACAGCGAGCTAGTTTTCCCATGTGGTCTCCCATCCAGGTACTGACCAGGCTCAGCCCTGCTTAGTTTGATTAAGTAACCTGTCTTGGGCTGCTGGGTGATATTGCTGTGGCTGTAGAATATAATCATGCAGAATAAATACTTTTAAGTCTAATAAACAGCCAATATGTTAATATTAGGCATGCTTATAATCAACTAGAACTGTTTTTGTACTAATGTGTTGACTTAATATTGTTTCACTTTAAATGAATCAGCATTCCAGCTGCTTAACCTTGTAATTATGCGTTTTTATTGTACGTTTTAATTGTAAGTCAGCAGTAATTCAATCGCAATTGAGATGAACTCAATTGCAGGTATTGTAGACAGAACGTGGTTTATTTTTGCATGTGTTAAAGGAAAAGCTGAAGGCTCAATGAAGCAGCTTACGGTCTTGTTGCCCCTGGCAACCTCTTTTCTGTCTGTCTTTGACGAGCTCTAATGCTGAAGATGAATGTTCCGAGTGGCCTCATTTATTTAAGCCGCCGCTTTGCATGTATTTAGCATATATTGGCTGTGCGCGCAATTGGATGCTGTGTGTTAGAAACTAAATTACAGGCTTTGCTAACAGCAGTGGCGTAATGTGTTTGTGTTATTGTGGATGTGTGTTTCAAAGGTCTCGACAGCTGGAGCTGGAGGACAAACAGAGCATGCTGGAGATGGAGCTGCGCCGCTACATGGAAATGGATGGTGCGAATTAAACTACATTCACAGTAGAACACAATCAATTGAAAATAGTTTTTTATAGTAATTATAGAAGCATCTGGCTGTCTATATATTAATTTTCTCTATATTCATCGCAATAATCCTATAATGAGACATGAATTTGTTTTGAAAAGCTGTCATTTTATATAAATATATTTTATTTAAATATAATATATTTTATGTAAAGCTTCAAGTAAAAATGATTATTATTATTATTAACAGTCCTTAGTGAAAATGCAAAACAATGTTAATAATAATAATTATAATGTGTGTGTGTATATATGTATTTACGTATGTCTATGTATGTACGATATAATAATATATACTATACTATAGTGTGTGTGTGTGTGTGTGTGTGTGTGTGTGTGTGTGCGCGTGCGTGCGTGCGTGCGTGCGTGCGTGCGTGCGTGCGTGCGTGCGTGCGTGCGTGCGTGCAAGTCAGAATTATTTGCCCCTTTGAATTTTTTTTTTCTATTTTAAATATTTCCCAAATGATGTTTACCAGAGCAAGGAAATTTTTACAGCATGTCTGATATAATTTTTTTTTCTTCTGGAGAAAGTCTTATTTGCTTTATTTTGGCTAATATAAAAGCAGCTTTTAATGTTTTAAACACCATTTTAAGGGCAAAAGTATTAGCCTCTTTAAGCTAATTTTATTTTCGACAGTCTACAGAACAAACCATCATTATACAAAAACTTGCCTAATTACCCTAACCTGTCTAATTACCCTAATTAACCTAGTTAAGCCTTTAAATGTCACTTTAAGCAGTATAGAAGTGTCTTGAAAAATATCTAGTCAAATATTATGTGCTGTCATCATGGATAAAATTAATCACTTTTTAGAAATGAGTTATTAAAACTATTGTGTTTAGAAATGTGTTGAAAAAAATCTTCTCGCCGTTAAACAGAAATTGGGGAAAAAATAAACTAGACTTAAACTGTGCGTGCGTGCGTGTGTGTGTAGTGTTGCTTGTCATTACATAAATACATAATTATTTTATACTGACTTGGTCACTTTAATAGTCCTGCAGTTTGACTAATTACTTAATTAAATGTTTTAATATTTTATATTTATTATTTTCAGACTATATATATATATATATATATATATATATATATATATATATATATATATATATATATATATATATATATAAATAAATAAATATTTTAAAATAATTATGATAAAATATTATTATATAGTAATCATTAAATCAAATTAATTTATTTAATTTAATTAAATTCTATAATTAAAATAATAATAAATAAATTGTGTGTGTAATACAATTGTGTTCTGATAATATATAAAAATTATATATATAATATTGTGTAAGTGTGTACAGTGAATATTTAAGTAGTAATACATCATAAATACATTTATAATAAATAAATATATAAATAATAAGTAATATAATAAAAAAGATAAAATATGATTTACTAAATTATTATCGTTATTATTATTATTATTTAATTAAACAATATAATTTTATTATTGATCAATAGATTTTGTGTGTATATAGTATAATTGTTGTAATAATATATAAAAATATTATATATATTGAGTAAGTGTGTACAGTGAATATTATGTGTGTGTAATATAATTGTGTTATAATAATATCTCAAATATTTTATATAAAATTATGTAAATACAGTGCATATTTAATTAGGAAAAATCCTAAATGAATAAATAATATATAATAAATCATAAGTAATATAAATAAAACATATTTTAAAATAATCATGATAAAATGTTATTTACGGAATTATTATTAGTAATCATTAAATCAAATGAATTTAATTTTATTAAATACTATAATTACATGATTAATAAATAAATTGTGTGTGTATAATACAATTATGTTTTGGTAATTGATAAAAAAATATATATATATATAATATTGTGTAAGTGTGTACAGTGAATATTTAATTAGTAAAACATCATAAGTAAGTTAGATAATAAATAAGTAATAAAACAAAAAAATGATCGAATGAATTATTATTAATCATTTAGTTAAATTAATTTATATGTTTAAATTATAAATTAATGATGTGTGTAAATAATATATTTATATGTTCTAATGATATATAAAAAATATCATATGTAATATTGTGTACGTTTGTATAATGAATATTTAATTAGTAAAACAGCATAAATACATTTAAAATAAGTAATAAAGCAAAAAAATGATAAAATATTATTATTTACAGAATTATTATTAATTATTTAATTAAATTAAACTATATAGTTAAATTATTAATCAATAAATTGTCTGTATATAATATAATTATAGGTTCTAATAATATATAAAAATATTATATATAATATTGTGTAAGTGCATACAATGAATATTAAATTAATAAAACATCATAATTACATTTATAACAAATAAATAAATAATAAATAAGTAATAAAATGAAAAAGAGAAAATAATATTATTTACTGAATTATTATTATTATTATTATTCAATTAAATTATATAATATAAATTTATTTTTAATCAATAGATGATGTGTGTATATAATATAATTATGTTGTAATAATGTATAAAAATATTATATATAATATTGTTTAAGTGTACAGTAAATATTATGTGTGTGTGTGTGTAATATAATTATATTATAATAATATCTAAACAATATTTTATATAAAATTATGTAAGTACAGTGCATATTTAATTAGGAAAAATCATAAATGAATAAATAATATATAATAAATATTAAGTAATATAAATAAAACATATTTTAAAATAATCTTGATAAAATATTATTTACTGAATTATTATTCGTAATCATTAAATTGAAGCAATTTAATTAATTTAATCAAATTCAAATTATTAATAAACAAAAATAAATTATTAATAAATAAATTGTGAGTATATAATAAAATTATGTTCTGATAATATATAAAAATTATATATAATATTGCATAAGTGTGTACAGTGAATAATTAGTAAAACATCATAAATAAATTATTATATAATAAATAATAAAACAAAAAATTATTAATTAGTAAAACACCATAAATACATTTATAATAAATAATTAATAAGTAATAAAACAAAAAAAAATTTTAAAAGATCAAATATTTTTTACAGAATTATTACTATTATTATTATTATTTAATTAAATTAAATTATCCAGATCAATAAAGGGACTAAGCCGAAAAGAAAATGAATGAATCACGAATAACAATAGTATTCTACCTGTCAATTAATATGAAATCCCAAAATCTTGATTGGATGTTTCTTGTGCTGTTGTTTTTGTGTGTGCAGATTCAGAGAAAAGCCCTGAGCAGCAAAAGCACGAGGCAGAGATCCTGCAGGAGATGCTGGACGTGGTAGACATGAGGGATTCACTGGTGGCCTTTCTGGAGGAGAAGAGGCTGAAGGAGGTCAATGATCAATTTAATTCAAGCCTGGATGCCAAAAGACGTTCAACCACAGCCTCCCAGGTGCACTGGGAGTAAAACGACACACAAACACACACATCTACTGGCTTAAAATACACACCACAACACCTTAATGAAGTTGTTCATCTGACAGTTACAATTCTGGCATCATTTATACACTCTCATGTCATATAAAGTCCATATAAATTTCTATCTTCTGTGATATTATAAGAAAAACACACTGCTAGATAATAAAGTTTGAGGTAAGAGTGAACAAAAAGTCCAAATTGTGTAGAGAACTTCAAAATTATTAAAAATTGCACTAGATAAACTTAGAATCATGAAAAGGTTTAAAATTGCATCAAATAAATCCGCAAAAATTCTTTATTTCCAACATCTCAAAAAAGCCTAATCAAGGAAAAAAAAAGAGAGTAATAGATGTTATAATTATCAGTTACAAGAACAGAACTATGAGATGTATACTATGAGAATTGCAACGTCAAAGGTCTGAATTGCAAAATATTATATATATTTAAAGAAAATAGATCCTATGTCCTCAGAACAAAAGTTAAAATTGCAAGATGTGTAAAATCCTAATAAATGTCAACCAAATATAATAAAAATATTAACTATGACAAACTAAAATTTGAAATCTGAGGGGAAAAGTCAATATTGTAAAATGTAAATTTAAAATCTTGAAAACAGTGCAAAATCGTATGATGTAAACATAAATCTAAAGTTAGATATGAAATTAAAAGTTAGAATTGTGATTGTGGAACAGTCAATCCTCTCAAACCTGTCTGGGTCCAGTCAGAACAACTGGGAGGCTTGTTAAGACTTGGTCCGAAAAAAAATGATGGTGCACCCAGGAAAGCACGTCGGTGATGTTTTTTTTACAGTGCCCTAGAATCCACAGGAAGTTAGAAAATATTTTACAGACAGAAATTAATAATAATAAAAAATAGGTAATTATTATTTGTAAAAAATGGATACCAAGTCCTTAGAAAAAAGGTTAAAATTGCAAGATGGGTAAAATCCTGACAAATGTCAACTTGTAATTATTATTAAAAACAAACTGTTACCTACTGAAACATTAATTCTGAGGAGAAAAGTCAAAATTTTAATATGTTTAATTATAATCTTGAAAATAAATAAAAATTTTAAGATGTAAACATAAATCTAAAGTTAGATATGAAATAAACTTTAGAATTGTGATGTAAAAAGTCTGTGTGGTATACCAGTCAATTCTCCCAAACCCGTCTGGGTCCAGTCAGACCAACTGGGAGGCTTGTTAAGGCCTGGTCCACAAAAAATAGCAAATAAATGCTGGCACACCCAGGAAAGCACTTCAGTGCAAGTGATATTATTTCAGTGCTGTAGCATCCACTAGAGGTAAGAGAATATTTACAAGTGACAAAAATTAATAATAATAAAAAAAATTGAAAACTATTATATATTAAAGTTTTAAATTCTGAGGGGAAAAGTCAAAACTGTAAGATGTGAATGTATAACCTTGAGAATAAATCAAAATTGTATGATGTAAACATAAATCTAAAGTTAAATATGAAATTAAAAGTTAGAATTGTGATGTAAAAATTCTGTGTGGGACAGTCAATCCGCTCAAACCCGTCTGGGTCCAGTCAGAAAAACTGGCAGGCTTGTTAAGACTTGGTCTGCAAAAAAAAATGATGGTGCACCCAGGAAAGCACGTCGGTGATGGTTTTTTTTTACAGTGCCCTAGAATCCACAGGAAGTGAGAAAATATTTTACAGACAGAAATTAAAATAATAAAAAATATCTAATTATTATTTGTAAAAAATAGATTCTTAGTGCTTAAAATGGATAAAACTGCAAGACGTATAAAATCCTGATAAATGTCAACTTGTTGTATTTAAAAACAAACTATCACATACTAAAGCATAGAATTCTGAGGGTAAAAGTCAAAATTGTAAGATGTAAATGTATAACCTTGAGAATAAATGAAAATTGTATAATGTAAACATAAATCTAAAGTTAGTTCTGAAATTAACAGTTAGGATTGTGATGTAAAAGGTCTGCATTGCAAACTTTTATGTATAAAAAATAGATCCTAAGTCCCCAGAAAAAAGACAAAACCTCAAAATTGCAAGATGTATCCTTTTAATCCTGAAAATAAACCCAAATTGTATAATGCAAGCATAAATCTAAAGTTAGATAAATATAAAATAAGTTAGAATTGTGATGTAAAACGTCTGAATTGCAAAATATCATTTATAAAAAATAGATCCTCAGATCCTTAATAAGTCCTCAGAAAAAAAGGTTAAAATTGTAAGATGTGTAAAATCCTGATAAATATCAACTAGTAGTTTTAATTATTGAATTAAAATAAAATTGCTAATTTTAGGGGATGTCCATGCAATAATATAAATGGTCAAAAAGAGGAAAACAACACACCATAAAAAAACATAACATTCATATGCAATACTTCTAAACTTCTGACATAAATGATAAAATCTCAGTTTGAACATCTTGCATCTGTTTTATCAAGGGAAAGATAGAAAATCATAACCATTTATATGAGCATGAGGGTGAATTAATGCTAGCAGAATATATATGTATATGTAATGCTGGTCAATGATTAATCGCATCCAGAATGTCATACGTAAAAGAAAGTGTGTACAGTGTATATTTATTCTGTATATATAAACACACACATTCAAGATTATTTTTATTTGGGTGTAAAATATAGACATACTGTATATGATACAAATTTATATAGCTATAAAAACGAAATAGAATTGTATAGTTTTATGTATGTGTGTGTGTCACATTTGCATAATAAATATACACAAATATATTATGTCAAAACAACCTTTTTTATTTGCTTAATTGCGATTAATCCTTGCCCATATATACATATTTGTTGAACTGTCTCTTTAATTATTCATGCATATTATAATCAACCACAATAATGACTTGCAGACACACGTTGCACAACTCTGTGCAGAGACTCTGCTCTTGAAAACCAAAGCGTTCAACACATCTGTGCACACATGTTTATATGGCAGACGCTACAGTCTCGCTCCGAACACGAATGTGCTTTCAAACGGAGACTCTGAAGCCTGGAAAATATTTGGATCTTCACAGCTGTCCCAGCCTTCACTGCCCGGATTATGGCCTTTCACTAGACCAATGGCATAAAAACCCCTGACCGAACGCAGGATCTGCTTGGGCAGACGTTTGCGCACATCTGTGCCGTTTATATATTGCATCTCGCACTTTTATAATAGTCTGTGGCAGGGGTCACCAAACTCGTTCCTGAAGGGCCGGTGTCCTGCAGATTTTAGCTCCAACCCTAATCAAACACACCTAGATAAGCCAATCAAGGTCTCACTAGGTATACTTGAAACATCCAGGCAGGTGTGTTGAGGCAAGTTGGAGCTAAACCCTGCAGGGACACCGGCCCTCCAGGATCGAGATCTTTGACCCCTGGTCTATAGAGATGACGGATGTTCTGAATATCACAGTTGCGGAAGCTTATTTCTGTCAGGAACTGATAAATAGGAAGTTTAAAGGTTAATTGAGACATTTTTCATAAGTTTTTACTTACAATTCTGAGTTTACATTTTGTAATTATGATTTTGTTTTGATTGTGTGATATAAACATTTGAATTCAGAGAAAAAAAACTGAAATAGATGTGAAAATCTTGAAAAAAAAAGTCACATTTCTGACATTTTATAAACTGAGAATCGCTGGAAAGAGGAACTTATAATTAACAGCTAATAAAAACTGCAATTCTAAGGCTGTAATTGTCATATAAAAAATGTTTTGCAATTTTAAAAAGTTTGCATTGCAAACAGTTATGAGACAAAAATAGTCGCTGAAAATAATGGTTAAAATTGTCAAATGTCAAGAAATAATAAGATGTTAACTTGCAAACTTGTTATTATAATAAAAACAAACTGCTACAGTAGATACTGAAATTTGAAGTTTCTGAGTGAGAAATAGTCAAAATTGTATGATGTGAACTAATTAAGTATTCAAAATTGCACCAGAAACACTCAAAATCATGAGAAAGTTAGAAAAGTGCATCAGATAAACTCAAATTTCCTCATTTCCGACATCTTAGAAACACAGAATCAAGAAAAAAAGAAACTGTAAAAGCTCTCAATTATAAGACCAGAACTGTGAGATCTGAAAAAAGATTTAATTGCGATGTAAAAAGTCTGAATTGCAAAATAATATATTAAAATAAAGTCCGTAAGTTCTTAAAATTGCAAGATGTGTAAAATTCTGATAAATGTCAACTTGTGATTATAATTATAAACAAACTGTTACATACTAAAATAATAATTATGTGGGCAAAGAAACTTAAAAATGAGTCAAAATTGTGAGCTTAAAATCTGGAAAATATGTCAAAATTATAGATGTAAACTTATAATCCTGAAAATAAAAGAAAATTGTTAGATGTAAACTTCGAATCTAAGTCAAAATCGTGAGATGTAAAAGTTTTACCTTGAAAATAAATTAAAATGGTAAAATGTAAATTTATAATCTTAAAAAATAAATCAAGTGGGTAAGATTTAAACTTGTAATCTTGAAAATATTTCAAGATTGTAAGATGTGAACTTAAAATTTTTTTTTATTTTCATGATTATAAAATGTGTACTTGGAATCTGGAAAATATACCAAGATGTAAACTATGATCTTGAAAATATGTCAAAATTGTTAGATGTAAAGGTGGAATCTTTTGAGTAAATCAAAATTGTAAGAAGTAAATTTATAATCTTTAAAATAAAATTTTAAGATGTAAACTTAAATTAAATCAAAATGAATAAATACGTAATTGTATAATCATGAAAATAGGTCAACATTGTAAGATTTAAGCTTGGAATCTGGAAAACAAATCAACATTGTAAGATGCAAACTTAATTATAAATATAGTAAGATATAAATTCATAACCTGGAAAATATGTCAAACTTGTACCTATTTAAACCTATAATCTGGAAAATAATATACAAAATTGTAAGATATAAATTTATAATCTAGAAAATAAGTTAAGTTTGTAAAATGTTTACTTGGAATCTTAAAAATAAATCCAAATTTTAGATATAAATCTATAATCTTAAAAATAAAACTGTAAAATGTAAAATTATAATTTGGAAAAATAGTAAAAATGGTAAAATGTGAATTTATAATCTGGAAAATAAGTCAAAATTGTACACTGTAAAAAAAAAAACGTAATTTTACAGATAAATTACAGAAATGTTCTGTAAAGGGGTTGAATTACAGAAATTTACCAGAAATTTAAACTTAAGTTAATTTCTGTAATTTAATGTATGTTATTTTACAGTAAATTCCTGTAATTTAACGGCCGTTATTTAACGTTTTTTTCCGGCACCGCAGCTGCTGAAAATAAACCGTAAAATTACGAATTTTTTTTTTTTACAGTGTAGATGTACTGTAAGTGTATGATCTTGAAACTAAGACAAAATCCTAATATGCAAACTTAGAATCTGGAAAAGAAGTCAAAATTGTAAAATGTAAACTTATCTTGAAAATAAATAAATAATTTTAAGATATAAATTTCTAATCTCGAAAAATAAAATTTAAAACATGTCAACTTGGAATCTGGAAAAGAAGTCAAAATTGGACATGTGGGCCTAAAATCTGTAAAGTCAAAATCGTGAGATGTAAGTTTAATACCTTAAAAATAAATCAATGTTATGTAAACTTATAATCTTGACAATAAATGAAGATTGTAAGATGTCAATTTATAATCTTGAAAATAAAATTATTAGATGTAAACATATAATATTGGCCATAAATGAAACTTGTAAAATGTCAACTTATAATCTTGAAAATAAATCAAAATTGTAAGATGTAAAAAAAAAAAAAAAAAAACTTATTCCTGTGAGATCAATTATAACCCATAACAAT